GAAGTAAAATTGTTTATAACACACAACATTTTAGTGTTCTGAGACATTTGGAGTGAGATACAAGAAGGCAATTTTACCGACAAATTATAAAACCTGTAATACGTAGGTTAACTCTCAATTGCTATGCACTTCTCAGGCACCATCTGATAGAACTCTACATGGGTTGGTAAAATGTGGGGCAAGCACTCTGAGAACCTATGGTCATAGAGCTGGCATCTTAATTTTTAGAGGTAGCTTTCTTCTTTGTGGAACCAAGTGTCTCTGTGATGTGTTTCAACCAGCAGCACCACCATCCTGTGAGTTATATATCATATAAAGAAGGCAATGGGACCAGCAAAGCCAATTCAGATGATGCTTACATGCAAGAAAGAAGAGGGTCTTGAATCTGTTTTTGACACTTCAGGCTTATCGATCCTATTCTTGGCTAAATTTGCTTGTGGGGCAATAATTTGGAGGTGGAAGGAGACTTCTCTATGGAAGACGCACAGGCCTTTTTCAGGCAATTCAAATGTAGTGGTTGAAAACTAGTATGTTGAAACTGGGTGTATACGGATTAATTTATGCTAGTGTTAGAACAGGAATTACTTAGACAAATAAGTTACTTGGGGGTATATCACTAATTTATGTGGTAAGTCAGGAATGGTGAATGCTGATACAATCATCTCCCTAAGTGCAAGGTAACAGGGGAAATCAAGTTCTCTTGCTGGGAAGTTGTTGAAGTTTTGGAGCCAGAAAACTGACAGTAAAGAGGAAAGATTTCCTTGGCCTTATTTTCCTAGTAAGTCATATTCCTTATTGTCCAGTAACTTGGAAGAGAAGAACTAGAGAGGCTTGGCCCTTCCTGAGTAGAGACTAGAAACATCTGGGAGTAAGAGGTGCAGGGAGGTCAAGAAAGCATGTGTGGAGATAGTGAGAGAAGAACCTGGTGTTCTGAGAGAAACCCTGGGTCCAAGCAGCATGAACGAAGCCTGGTTTTGTTCCATGAGGAATCTGTTTATAATTTCACGCTTCCGATTGATGACTAAGGGCTGGCTGCTTAACTCAAATCCCAGAACCAATTAAATGTTAGTCACACACCATGGTAAAATGGTTACAAAAATCCTGCTCCATAACGTTAGGAGGATTACGTTTGTTCTGTTCTGGCATTCTGCATGTATACATTTGGGGTATCTTCTTTTCCTCCTTATTTCTGCCTTTTTCATGATCTCCTTCTGAGGACCATACATACCTCTGTCCAGTCAGAGAGAAGCCACTCACTGGGACAGTCATCTTTCTTGCAGGCTTGCTGGGAGGCCAGTTTTGAGGCTGAACAGAAGGTATCAGGAAGCTCTAGGAAGCTGCCATCAGCCATGCGCTGCTTGCAAAGAACCTCGCGCTTCTGAATGCCCCCTCCACAGGTCCTGGAACACTGAGGAAGGAAGAGAAAGTCAGCCTAGCATAGAAAGTGGTGTGTTTCAGGTGGCAATTTCTACTTTTGCCTTGGCTGAGTAAAGAGAGAAAAAAGAAAAAAGAAAAAAAAAAAAAAGGAAGAAGGAAAAAAAGAAAAACCAGAAACCAGCTCAAAGGATTTTGCCTTCTCTCCTTGAAATGAATTTTGTAGCAAGATCTAAACCTTCTTCTCTTAATCTCAAGTATTTAACTAGAGCATCCAGGAATTTTAAGAGCCTTTAAATCATAGAATGTTGCTTCTAAACTATGATTTGTAGCCACCTAAGACAACTGGTTTAAAAGGTTAGTATAAGAGTGTTAAACATATTTACGACCCAGTGAAAATAATCTGTGCAGCTTCCTGAATGAATGAGCAAGAGAGTTCCTGCCATCATTGTAAACCTGGAGAAATTAATCTGCAGAGAAGGCAGGCCTTTCTCTCTAAGTGTAAACATCCACTCTAATGGAGGGACATTAAATTTGAGGCCTGGTTTTCTGAAGAACTCCCCCGGAAGACTTTTCTTGTAGGATTTGTGAATTCTTAGGGCAGTGGGAGCAAGAGCCACCGAAATTTGGGATATATAAAAAACATAACCTTATTTCAGTGAAAAAAATGTAACTTAATAATTATAATCTAGTTGCATGAGGAGGGAGGGAGGCAGGCCTCATGTAGCATAGAGTGTTGGCTGTTATTCCAAGTCTTTCCCCACTCCCTTGCAATAGCAAAAGCACCCCTAATTTCTAGCTGGGCACATGATTTTTCAGCACATAGACTAGATTTACCAACCTCTCTTGAAGGTAGACATGACCAGGTGACTAAGTTCTGGCTGATGGGGTATAAGAGAAAGGGTTGTGTCATTTCAGGGAAATGCCCACAAAGTGTGACATTTCCCTCTTCTTTCTTTTTGCTGGGCGGAATATGACCATGATGTCTACTACAATATAAGCCTCCATCTTGGACTGTGATAGGCAAAAAGCAGCAGCCTGTGTTCCTAGTTGCGAAGCCACCATACCAGCCCTGGACAGAGTGTGTTTCTGTGAGAAAGAAATACTTCTTTTATTTAAGCCATTTCTTCATGTTCAGGCAGATTTAATCTGTAAGCCTCTGACTGTGCTGTGGATATTTTTTTTGTAAAAATTCTAAGGAGCGCTCTGCTTTCCTCAAGAATAGCCCCCTTTCTTTAACCTGCTCCCTTTGGGCTCTCTGGGAAATCAGACCTGGGCGTAAAGCCTGAGGGTTTGTGCTGAAGGAGCTGCTCCTGCTGCAGCAGTGGCCTCTTAGAACCACTGTGCTCACTGCATTGTATTCAGAACCGCAAGGGACATTTGTGCTCACAGCTGAGGTTAGGATAGTGACACAATGTCCCTGAGTAGTGAGAATGCTGTTGTGGCCCATCTGTTAACCCCTTACTCAGTGGTCCCAGCCTTAGATGAATTTTTAAATCACTTGAGGTTTTTAAAAAAGTACTGAGGCCTTAAATTTAACCACGAATTTAATCATTAAATCGGAAACTCTGGGAGATGGATCCCAGACATCAATTTTTTAATTAAAAATATATTTTTTAATTCTTCCAGGTAATTCTGCAACCAGGGTTGAGAACCATCTCTCAAGTGAATGTCCCTCTACCACTTTCAATGGAAATAAGATAAACATAGAACCAGTGGTTGTTTGGACCCCACCTGATCAAACGTGCCCTTTGTTTGCAGTTGTGAATGGCTTGAGGTTACAGAGCTACTGGATAATGAAGATAGGAGAGCTCTCAACTTAGTCTAGTTAGGCCTTTTAACCTTAGAGCCCTTCAAATCACCCAAGCCAGTGGTGAACAACCTTCGTTTGCATTTCAAATTTAAAAATTTTGAATGAAAATAATCTTATTGAGTCCCATAAGAAAAAAAATGTATTTTGTTATGGCTGGATTCAACTACCTATTCACTGAATAAAAGAAGGCTAAGGATAAAGGTGAACCCCTGCTATGAGGTAGGTCTTATAGAAGCTGAGGCTAGAGCTGAAATGACTCAATCAGCTAAGACTACACAGGGGTGAGAAGTGGTTTGTTTTTATTCTGTGTAATATTCCCCGACCTCCTACCGAGTACATTCTCTGGGCTGGGGTGGTAGACACAGCTGGAGAATGAGTCTAAGCTCACCTTTTCTTTCCTGTGGTTGTACGAACTGCTCTCTGCTTGCACAGAGGGTGCTCTGACTGCTACTTCATGCTGAGGCCCCAGGCCTCGAAAGGCCCACGCCTGCTGAGAGCCGGGTTTCCACCACACCCTCACTAATGGGCAGTGCTTTCAAATTCCATCCTCAGCCTCCACTCTGTGACTGTCCCTGACTAGCAGGAGCTGGCCCATGACCCAGGTTGAGAACCAACATTCTAAAATAGCTCATCTACACCTTGGTGGCTCTGGATGTGTTCTCGCTAGATGCTTTGATTTCTGAGCTGAAAGGATACATTTGAACACAACTTCTAGGCTATACCACAAGCTGGGTGGGTGGACTATATTTAGTGGTCTGCAGCCAATTGTTACTCATCACAGATTCAAACAGTTTCTTCTAAGACTTTGCTTAGCATGTCAGTTAGCTTAATTAAGGAAAAATCGATAGCCTCAAAGCTAATGATTCAAGTTTTGAGTGGCCCAGGCCTTTGGATTCTCTGACTCTTCTCTTCTCAATTTCGATGATTCCCTGGCCTTTTTATTTATCAGAGAAGCAAACTTTTTAGTTATTTGGAGTAGTCCAATAAACTCTTGAAGGATTTTACTTCTTTAATGTATTTTATATCTGCACTGCCTAACATGGTGCCTTCTGTCAACATAAACCCTCAATAATGTTTGTGGAATTGAACTGAAGTTGGTGGTTAAGGAAAATTTAAATTAGTGGCTAAGAATTCCATTTACTTGGAATAACCCTTCTCATTACTAGGGATAACTAAAGTTTCAAATTGGGTTTTATAGTCTTTTGCATGGCTTCTTAGGTTCAATCTTTTCTTATTTCTGTCAAATTCTCACTTCTAACAAACCGGGTATTCTATCGTCAGATTCGTTATAACCTTCATTGTTCAGCCCTTCTTCAGAACTCTTATAACTAGACAACTAACCATGTGTGTTACTGATTCTTAAGGATTTGCCAAACTTAGATACTGTATTTTCCACAATTCTTTCTATTCTATGACTTACTAAAATTCTTTCATGAATGAATGTAATTTTGTTCAAATTATAATTGTCAGAAAAAAAAAAGTTTATGCTAAGTCGAAAATTTAAATCTTAAGCTCTGACTTCTTCCCTATCCCTACTCAACGTGCCCAGTTAAATATGAATAGGTATCTTGACCTAAACATGTCTAAAATGGAATTTATGATTCTGTTCCTCCAATATCATCTCAAATGTGCTCTCTTTTCAATCTTCCCCACTCATTTAATGGTGCCACATCCAAGACAAAGACTTAGGAAAAGTTATTGATTTTTCCTTTTCTCATCATCTCTCCCCTGACACCCAATCCATGAGCAAATACTTTCAGATTTGCCTCCAAAACAAGGAAGCTTTACCTCTACAATAATAAATTAGGATACCAGCATCTGTGGCCTACACTACTGTTAAGCTTCCTAACCAGTCTCCCAGTTTCTCATTTTCTCAGCTAACAGCAGGATACAAACAGCACACTCAATCTGAAGAGAGTTCCTCTCACTTTCTGATGGCCTGTTGAAAACTCTGTTAGTTGAACAAAACCAGAAGCAAGAGGATAGAGTCTGTCTAGGCCAGTCTCCTGGACACAGGTGAAGAAGGTAGAGAGTGGACCTAGAGGAGCAACAAAAGATATTCAGCCTATCATCTTACTCCCTTACACCTATTCTCCACATGGTAGCAACAGTGATGTCTTTCAAAACATAAATCAGATCATATAATTCCCATGCTTAAAACCCTCCAGTGGCTTCCCCTAGTGATTAGAATAAAATCCAAACTCCTGTAACTCTGCCCTGAAAAGCCTTATATGTTCCTTGCTCTGATGGAACTCTGAGATTGTCTAACTCAAATCCTTCCACATTCATTCATTCATTCGACACAAAGTTATTAAATATCAATCACGAACCAAGCATGGTTCTAAGTTCTAGGTTCTAACAGTGGACAAGGAGCTTCATGCACTTCTACAATGTCATCTCATACAACTCTCCCTTTCCCTGTATATTCCAGCCACACTGTTTTGTTTTTGCTGTTGTTCCTCCAATGTCGAGCTTGTTTCTCCCGTAGGGCCTTCACACTTGCTCTTCTCTCTACCAGGATCATTCTTCTCTTACATGTTCATGTAGCTGAGAATTTCTAATCTTTCAGCTTCAATTACGTTCTTACCTGCTTGGAGAGGACATCCCTAACCTCCTAGCTAGAGTAGCCAAACCAATCCTATTAATCTCATTTTATTTTAAATAGCTCTTTTAAGTAGCTCTCATCCCTTTCAGAAATTATCATCTATTAGACTATTAGCTCTATGTAGGAAGTGATTTTTGCTTGCTTCTTGTACTACTCATATTAACGTTTGAGAATCGCATTCAAAACATTCTCCCAGGATGATATTGTTACATCTTTAATAAGAGATCTTAGGATTGGATGACTCCATTTCGTTTTTTTTTTTTTTCTTCTACATTCTCCCTCTTTTTTTCTCTTTAAAGTTAATGATTTGTTTGTTTCCCAGTAAAGAAGTGGTCAGGATGTGAGCTAAATCATAGAATGACATTTTATAACAGATGCTGGAGGTACGTGATGTTTTGGTATGATTCATAAATATGTATACTGTAGAGAAAATGCTGTATATTTTTCTATGAGAGAAGTAAAGGCTGGTTCATAAAATCATTATCCGCTGAACCTCAAAATGACATCAGACTACTTTACTTCTAATCCTTTGATTATAACTCATAGTCAGATTCCCCACGGGTCCTATTGAGTTTGTCAAGCATAAAAAACATGCTCTTGAAGTTTCTGTTACCCG